CATACCCCGGTCCAGGGCTCTGTCCCCGCATGCTAATGTCCGGTCCTCCGCTGTTGCTGTCCCTTGGATGTCCCTCTTGCGCATCCGTAGTTCTCTCCTGGATGCGCAGCTGTCAATAGTCCGCGCGACGCGCCTGGCGCAAGATGCCCCGTTGGGGCAGAATGGCGCCCGCATGCGGGACGCCCTTGTGTGCTCGCCGCCTCCCGGGGGGGACACGCCGGCCGTTTCGCCGGGGTCGCGCCCGACCGCTGGCGACCGAGAGCCCGCGCCACGCGGCGCGGCCGGGCGGAAACGGCACAAGGCTGATTGCGCTGCTCGACTATCGGGAGCGGCTCTCGCGCCGGGTGTGTCCTTCTATCTGTGAAGGGCACCCGCCCTGCATCTGCATGTGTTCGCCCCCCCCCCCCCCCCCCGCCCCCCTTTCTTTCTTTTTCCTTCTCTTGCCCGGAGCCGTCTCATGCCCTCTTCCGCTTCCCCCTCCACTTGGGGGGATCCTCTTTGCCGTTTTGCTGAAGGGCATTTCCCGATGCTTCGTGTGGCGAGAGGAAATACACCCGATCAGAATGTTTCCTTTTTTCTTCCCCTCTCCCCCCCCCCCTTGCATTGGGGATGCCTGGCATGGCCATTACAGCCGCACGCTCGTGGATGGGCCGGCGCAACTCTATGGGTTTATTGTCTTCGGAGCAGGTTGATGCTGTGCCGGTGCCAGGACCAGGAGGGCGGGAGGCGAGGGGATAGGCTAGGTGCATCGATCGCGAGCCGCGTGGAGGAGTTGCTCCTCCAGCAGCGGGAAGAGATTGTCCACGCCACCGTACCCGGGGAAGTAGTTCAGATCCACGATGAACATCCGGTCAGTGCCCTCCTCGAAAACAATGTCCACACCGAAAAGGGACACGCCCTACAGGGGGGGGGGGGAGCGGCGGGAAGCGGGCAGCCACGCAGATCAGCATCAAGTACACGGGTGAAAGGCACGGATTTCCCACATGCCAGGCGGAAACGACGAGCACATGCGCGTACCATCTCGGCCGCCAAGTAGGCCACGGTTTGCTCGACGCGGGCCTGCTGCTCCGGGGTCAGGGCCACCACGACGCCCGGGTCCAGGGGGACCGTCTCCCGGGAAAGGCGCTGCGAATCCAGGTGCAGAATCGGCTCTCGAGCCAGGGGCGACCCGGCCGAGGCCAGGTCCACCGACGGCCGGGGGACAATGCTGGCCACGGCCCCGGCCACAGCGTACGCCTTCCACAGGAGGGCCGGCTGGTGGGGGACACCCAGTTGGAGGGTGCGTTGGCCATCGTCCTCGGCCGTCAGGGTGAACTCCTCCGAGAGCCAGGCCCCGGGCTGGGCATCCGCAACCGCGCCGGCACGGAAGATGGACAGCCGATGGGAGGCCGGCGTCGAGCAGGCGTCACGCGACTTGAGGACTGGATCGGAGGGGAGAGCCGGGGGGGGGGGGGGGGATGGTCAGCGGTCATTTACAAATGCAAGGCCGAGGCAGAGGGGAGGGGGAGAGAGCGGGAGAGCATGTCGGAGAGACGGCCGCAATGGCCGCTGGGGCGCACAGTAGGCGGAGTCATCAGAAGTGGCGCTCTGGGCGACTGTGGTGCGGATGAAGCGCCCGAGGGCCGCATCATAGGCGGCCCGGCTGGTCAAATCCTCCGGCTCAGGGGCGAAGAGCATCGTTGTGGGGGAGTGGAAGAGGTATTGGCCATTGTGGGAGGCGGCCCAGCGGCCGGCCAGTGCGGCCAGCGCCTCGCTTGACAGCCACCGATCGGTCAGGATGTGGCACACGTCCAGCGGGTCAACCAGGGCCGGAGGGACGGCCCCGGGAGGGGGGTTTTCCAGCAGCTGGCGGAGAGCCTGCAGCCGGGCCACCGCACGGGCCATCTTTCCACGCAGAGCCTCATCGGCCGGCGGGCCGGCCGACAGTTTGCTCAGCCGGGCGTACACCATCTCCGAGGTGAACTTGTGCAAGATGACATCCAGGTCATTCGGCAGAGCGGCCGGGTTGTCCAAATCCACGGGTGTCACCGAGCGGAAGGTCTGTCGATCGCTGCTCCGGGGAGCATGGCAGGAGTCCAGGAGCCCGGGAGGGTGGTGGGGGGATTCCGAGGGAAAGGATGGTCAGCAGACCGAGGGGCGAAGGGGGAAAGCACCAGCGGCCGGCGCGAGGACCGGGCACGAACCCGAGATACTGCAGAAACTCCTGCATCCGCTGGCTGTCCAGCTTCTTCTTGGGGAGGGCATAGCCAAGAGCCGGCTTGTCGGCAGGAGGCATGGTGAGCGAAGGAGAAGGAAGCAAGGGGGGGGGGGGAGGAGGGGCTCGAAAAAGGGAGAGGCATGAGCTCCCCCTCCCCGGGATGTCGCAACATGATGTGGTCCCAAATGATGGCAGGCGCGGCGATTCCCCGCCCTAACATACTCCTGTCCGTCAGACCAGCGGGCGATCTGTGGTGGGACCGATCAGCTTGGTGTGGGTGTGTGTGAACGTGTGAATCTCTCTGCCTCTCTCTCCCTCCCTCACACACATAGACACACACATTCAAGCCCCATATGTTCTAGCCAGCACGTATAGCCTGCTTTGACCGATCCGCGAACCCGACTTCCTGCCCAGTGTGCTGCCGTGCATCTTCTCCCGCCCGTCTGGCTGCCACTCCCCGCCCCCCCCATCTTGCCATGGCCGTGCTTGGCCGAGGCGAGGGAAGAATCTCAAGGTTCCACCACACGCGCCGAGGACCAGGCAGGTCGGAGTCTATTGGTTGGTCACGTGCCCAGGATGCACCTGGCTCACTGCCCGTCGCTTGGGGAGGCAGCAGCGGCAGCAGCGGCATTTTTGCGCGCCGAGAGGAGCTGCTCGCGATCCGGGCCGAAGTCTGGCAGCGGGGGGAGGTCCTGGCCGAGGCCCTGGGACTCCAGCTCGGCGATTTCCTTCTTCATGGCCTCGATGTGAGCTGGCCGATAGTTGTCGCCAAACTGCCGGAGAGGCGGGTCGAAGATGTAGACGCCGGAGGCAACGCCGACGATGGCGGCGACCAGGAGGTTGCCAAGCTGGAAGCCCTTCATAGTGGCGGGAGGGGATTGCAGGGGCGCGTGGCGGGGGTGCAAGCCTGCGGGAGGGCACCAGTTTTGGTGTGGCAAGGGGAGACGTGCCGGATGGGGAGCAGATATGGGTGGTGACGGTGGTGTCAGGCCGAGCCAAAGACAGTGTTCGATCAGTGTCAGACAGAAAGAAAGAGCATGGTCCCGGGGAGGGGAAGCGGGATGCAGCATGGCGGGCGTGCGCATGCCGGAAGGGGTGTGTTCAAGCAGTACAGGGCCAGCCTCACGGAGCGGGAGGGAGGGCCGCGGGGACGCAGGCGTCTGCATGCTGGCTACGGGGGGCACAGGATGACCCTGTGGCAGGCGGCATGTGGTTGGAGATGCGAGAGGGGGACCCCATCGGGGAGAGGGAGAGAGGCGAAAGGCAAAAAGGTTGGAAGAGACGAACAGGAAAAGCGGAGAAAGGGGTGTCGGTTGCGGGCGGCGGGGAGGAGGACGAGATCGCGGGTGCGACAAAAATGTCCGCCCCTGTGTGTTTGTTCCTCCGCACGCGCCCCCCCCGCCCCAGGAGCAGGACCAGAACAGGCCGGAGTGACGACCGGGCCCGGGGGCCGCGCACGTCCCAATCTCC